TATATAGTGTAATAGAAAATGAGGTGTTGTCACCTGTTTGAGTCTGCTCCCATAGACCTCGCTAGCGAGAACCCTGTCCCCGAACAACATGACTGCCTCTTTAACCGAACGAAATGGGGCCCGCGTGTCGATTTCCGCCTTGTTCATCTCCCGAAACCCATCCTCCTCCATTGTTGAAAGATAAATTTAAGCAGGCTAGCTACTTCACAATTACACACAAATTTTTGCAAGAAAAGGACAAAACAACCAAAGCCTTTTGAATTGTTTGTGTTTGTGAATGTGCCAACTTTCGGGAGTAGTAAGGGTGGTTTTATGCTTTAGTGTGAGGTTCGTTTCTTGGCCTCCACTTCAAACAGCTCAATATATTACATATGGTATCCATATTTTATTGATGGTCTTTAAGTCTTTTGATGAATGGTCCTTACTTTTCCTTTGATGGACTTAATCTATTAATATAATAGCGATAGAGATTTAGCTGAAATCTCTTACTATATAATAGAGATAAGAAAAAAATATATAAATAATATGTCCCGTTCATTTTTTCGTTTTATATCATTAATGATAACTTTTTATTAACAGTGATTGAATCAAAAGATTGATGAAAGATTGAATCAAAATCAGAGAAGAACTCTGTAGTACATGACGGCGAGAGAGTTTAGAGAGAGAGAGAGCAAAAATACAGAAAAGAGAAAAATGAAAAAGTAAGGTATCAAACCCTAATGCATCCTATTTATACTAATACTATTTACTACTAAAAATGCTATTTACAATGCTGAAGGCGTGTTAGTAAAAAGTGCTATCATAAGGAAAATATAATCTAATATCCCCCCGCAAGATGAATATGCTAAACTATTTGTGAATGTTGAGGATGTTCATCTTGAAAATGCACTTGTGGAAGGGCTGAGGATGCAAAGCTTTTGTAAGAACATCTGCCACTTGTTCCTCTGAAGGCACAAACTGTAGACTGATGATCCCTTTTGATAGATTTTCTCTGATAAGATAGCAGTCAATTTCGATGTGCTTTGTCCTCTCATGGTGAACTGGGTTTTTGGCTAATGCAATGGCTGACTTACTATCTGAAAAGAGTAAAACAGGAGCATTATGAGAAATGTGTAAATCATTGAGCAGGTATAGGAGCCATTGAGCTTCACAAGTAGTGGAAGCCAAGGCTCTATACTCTGCTTCAGCAGAGGACCTACTAATGGTTGTTTGCTTTTTAGATTTCCAGGAAATAAGTGAATCTCCTAAGAAAAAAAGCATAACCAGTAATACTTTTCTAGTATCAATGCAACCAGCCCAATCACTATCACTATAACCTTTCAAAGATAGAGTAGAGTTTCTGGGATAGAATATACCTTGGCCAATAGTTGCTTTTAAATACCTGAGTAGCTTATGGGCAGCATCCAAATGTGTCTGATGAGGATGAGCAACATGTTGGCTTAGGATTTGAACAGAGTGAGCTATGTCAGGTCTAGTGATAGTGACATATAATAATCTACCAATTAATCTCTTGTAAGAGGTGCAGTCTACAGGAGCTGAATCAGTGTTATGCACATAAGATAATCTCAAATTGGGATCCATAGGGGTGGTGGCAGGTTTGCAAGCAAGGAAGCCAGTGTCAGTCAGGATGTCTAAAACATATTTTCTTTGACATAACTGAATGCCTTTATCAGAATGAGCAACCTCAATGCCTAAAATATATTTGAGAACCCCTAAGTCTTTAATGGTGAAACAACAGTCAAGATGTTTTTTAATGGCAAGAATGGAATTTAGATTATCACCAGTGACTATTATGTCATCAACATATACAAGAAGGACAAGAGTAAAATCAGTAGAGGAATGCACAAACAAAGAAGAATCTGAGGATGATTGAATGAAACCATATGAAATCAGACAAGTAGTAAGCTTGTAAAATCATTGTCTAGAGGCTTGTTTAAGGCCATATAGACTTTTCTTCAATTTACAGACCCTTGAATCATTTGCAGCTAAGTAACCAGGTGGGGGTTTCATGTACACATTTTCATCCAAATCACCATGTAAAAATGCATTATTCACATCCAACTGATGAATATGCCAATGCTTAATAGATGCTAATGCAATGAGGACTCTTACTGTGGTGATTTTTGCAACAGGGGAAAAAGTGTCAAAATAGTCAATCCCCTCTTCTTGGGTGTAGCCCTTAGCTACTAATCTGGCTTTATATCTTTCAATACCACCATCTGATTTATATTTTATTTTGTAAATCCATTTACAACCTATAGAATTTTGATTTTTAGGTAAAGGAACAAGATCCCAAGTTTGGGTTTGTTCTAAGGCTGTAATTTCCTTTTTCATGGCTTCCTGCCACAAAGGATCTAAATTGGCTTGTTTGAAAGATTTAGGCTCAGAATTAGTAGTGATAGATGCAGTGTAACAACAATAATCATGAGATAAAGAAGCTGTGGACAGAAAGTTGCTAATTGGATAAAATGTACCAGAAGTGTCCTCAGAAATTGATATGGAAGAATTAGAAGAATGGGAAATGCTATGATCATAAATTTGTAGATAAGGAGGAGGGTTCCTCTGTCTAGTAGATCTCCTTAGTGTAGGTTGAGGAGAATTGTGTGTCTGAATGGATATATGGCTTGGGTTAGTAGTGGAAATTTTTGGATTAAGGGCTGTTTGTGGAGAAGATATAAGAGATGATATTTGTGAGGTGGTAGTATTGTGGTCTGGTAAGGTTCGAGTATGTTGTGGTTCATGATAAGAAAAAGGAGGAGGGCTGGGAAACATAGGTTCAGTATCAGCTAATGTGTGTGCTTAAAAGGGAGGATAGTTTCATAGAAAGACACATTCCTGGAAATTATTATGTTCTTAGTTTCTAGATTGTAAAGTCTATAGCCTTTACAACCGAGTGGATAACCAAGCAAAATGCATTTTGATGCCCTAGGATGAAATTTAGATCTATGTGCAGATAAGGTTGATGCATGGCAATCTATTAATGATGTGGGCTGCAGCAGTTACACAATCAATCCAAAAGTGCATAGGCAAGTGAACATGAAATAAGATGGCTCTAGCAACTTGAAGTAAATGTTGATGTTTTCTTTCAACTCTACCATTTTGCTGTGGGGTTTCCACACAAGAAGTTTGATGAATAATGCCATGAGATGTGTAGAAATTATGCATGAGAAACTCTATGCCATTGTCAGTTCTTATGCATTTGATGTGTTTCTGAAACTGAGTCTTAATCAAGTTGTAAAAATGGGACATGTAATGACCAGTATCAGATTTATGAATGATAGGATATATCCATGTAACCCTACTGCAATCATCAACAATAGTAAGGAAATACTTATGGCCAGAATGAGATGCAGTATTGAAAGGACCCCATAAGTCACAATGAATAAGATCAAAAGGTTCAGATGCTATAGACATACTATTATCAAATGGGAGCTTTTTTTGTCTAGCAAAATGGCATGTATCACATGGTAATCCAGTGAGTTGTTTGCAAAGTGAAGTAGAACAATCAGACAATGTAGCAAGCTTATGAAAAGATAAATGACCCAATCTGTTATGCCATAGTTCAGAAAGAGAAAGTACATGAGTAACATTATTGGTTTGCAATACATGTTCATGAACAGAATCAGTATTGTTGTCAGAAACATTTGAGACAACATTTGCAGAAAAGACAGAATTAGAAAATGACAAATGATAAAGACCATTCTTTGTCTCAGCAAAACCAATCATTTTGTTGGTTTGCAGATCCTGTAATGTACAATACAAAGAGACAAAATTAACAGAACAATTATTGTTAGCAGTTAGTTTAGAAACATATATGAGATTGAAAGTGAAATCAGGAACAAAGAGAACATGTTTTAGCACAAGATTAGGCCCCAGGTTAACCTGTCCCACATGGCTAGCACATGTACTCTGTCCATTGGGAAGTTTAATAGAAAGAGATATTTTAGAAGGTTTTGTAGAAAAATATTTGTTATCACATATCATATGATCTGTTGCTCCAGTATCAAGAATCCAAGTGTCATTTGAAATAGTTTTGATAGACTGACAAGATAATGATAAAGTACCTTGCTGTTCTATGTGAACAATGGCAGCTACAGGGGATGACTCAACCGGAGCCGTTCCCTGTTTGTTAGCAAAGGATCTTTTGAACTCTAGAAACTCAGTAAACAAAGCATCAGTCATGGAATTTGAAGATTGAGTAACAGAGTTTGAAGTTTGAGTAGCACTGACAGAGTTGACAGATGGGTGAGAGGGATGTATTCTCGGACCCTTAGGACCAACCCAATTTGTTGGATATCCAATCACTTGATAACATTTTTCAGTAGGATGGTTGTAACCACAGTGATCACACTTAAATCGTTTCTTATCTTTGGGTGCAGGATTTTTGAAGTATTTTGAAGGGCCATGATTAGATTTGGCTAACATAGCAACAGGTTCAAATGATTTGGAAGAGGATTGTAAATTGCGCTGACTTTCTTCTTGCAAGAGCAGAGAGTATACTTTGGATAAAGAGGGCAAAGGTGAAGAAAGTAAAAAATGACTGCGCATGGAGGAGTAAGACTCATTCAGACCAACCAGGAATTTAAGAACAGAATCATTTTGTTGAGCCAAAGTCATGGATTCAAAAATTTGACATGAACAGCGAGACATAGCACCACAAAGACATTTGAAGACAGATCGATATATAATGTACTCATCCCAAATAGATTTAAAAGCAGTGTAGTACTGAGTAATGGTTTGAGAATTTTGATCCATAGAACTCAAGGCTTTTTCAAGTTGGAATACTCTAGGACCAGAACTGAGAGAATAGCGAGATTTAATTTCATCCCAAACACTCTGAGCATGAGAAAAGAATAAAAGAGATTGTCTAATATCCTTAGCAATAGAATTCAATATCCAGGATAGGACCAGATTGTTTGCACGCACCCAGGCAACATGCTCAACATGATTAGTAGTAGGATTAGGGGTTACCAGAGAACCGTCAACGAAGGCAACCTTGTTTTTCACGCTAAGCGCCATCAGGACCGCTCGCGACCAGGCAACATAGTTTTTGCCTGTAAAGAGATCTGCGACAATGACTGCTCCAGGATTATCACTTGCATGCAGGTAAAACGGTGACGACGGATCATCAGATGAAAGAACCATGGCAAAAATATATCAGATCTAAGTAG